CGAGGAATACTTTGATCCACTCAAATGCGAAATCTCGAACGCCATAATTATAGAGCTTCTGCAGTAAAATTTTGTGATTCCCTCGATCAAATGCTTTCGCGAAGTTGAGATAAATCACATCCATCGCATCCCCTTCGTCAACTGTACTGGTCAATTCATCTCGAACGGAAAGCAGGTTCGTGGTGCAGGATCGCTTTTGCCTAAACCCGTGTTGAGCTGTCGAGAGAATGCTGTATCTTTCGAGATGTTCCATCAGAGAATCGGACACAATTGACTCCATGACCTTCGATAACACCGGAAGCAGGGTTACAGGTCGGTAATTAGCGGGGTTACTACGACAATCACCCTTTTATATAGACGAAATAACTCCTTGTTTCCACGATTCGGGGAGTGTTGCTTGGTCGAACATTCGTTGAAACAGAATAGCTAGCGGTTCGGATATATGTGTTTGCTAGAAAGATCAGAGATTTCGGGTGTATGTTGTCCGCACCTGAAGTTGCATTTTTTTCTCAAAGCCATTAGTTTTGCTTTGAAGTTTTCAGCAGTAAATGATACGTAGGTGAGTGAAGGATGTGGAAGATGATGCAACCGTTGGGATAGTTGTAAACCTTCAACCTGCGGTGCTGCGAATACGTTGAAATAATGAATTTTCAGCATTTCCGCTGCTTCCATTGGAGTGGCTGCAACTCTTCCAGCGCTACTTAGTACCCGTATACCAAACTTTACTTTCTGGATGGATTTGACGTGTTGGTATAACAGCTTAGGGTAAGAAATGAATTTTTGTGCTAGCACCTCTTGGTATTTCACTTTATCTTCATGAATCAGCCTGGTGCATTGGTTCCTCAGCATACGGTAATTATTCCATGTGACAGCACTCGGAAGATGAATATAATCTCGCCAGACTAAATCCTTCGTCGATAGTCATTTCCTTGTGCGGCTTCGAATAGGTGAATTTCGGATGACAGATTTGGTGATTACTCTAGCTTTAGTCACGGATGTTATTATACTTGTGAGATTGTCAATAAATTTCTTCCGTGTAACTAACGGATTAGCTTCTTCGTCATAAGAAACCCACTGAGCAGAGAGCGCCAAGTTATTCAACAGTGCGTAGTCTATAGATTTGCGTGTGTTATCAGAGGAACTTCCCTGAATCGATGCGTAACAGACGTATTTGAATGTCAGTACAGCATGGTCTCTACGTCCTAGGGAAGAAGTCACATTGACAGACTCTACCATCAGCTCCTCATTGTTCAACACTAAATCCAGTATGGACGATGACTGTAGGTTGACAAACCCAGTGGTCACCTTCACATGGTTGTATAGTGGACACGAGTCAATCAGCCGTTTGAAATGATGTTCGAAAAATGGGCGGACGGTCGTTGATTTGTTGAGATTGGGCAGTTGAAATCACCCATAAGGAGAAAATGGGCAGAGCTCGCTAAATTAGAAAAGTATGATGAAACAAAACTGTTCATTTCACATGGTAACTGAGTTAAGTTCATAGAAAGACGACTGAATTGTCATAATTTTTTCGACTGGGGAATGAATTTTAACACTTTGGTAAATTCCTCAAGCGGTAATGCTATGAGCTATTGTAAAGTTTAAACATTGCTTAGATCTATCCAGTTCAAATTATTCACCAGTGGCTATACCAAGTAATTGAATGATATATGCCTCATTAGATAGTTTCGAGTAGGTTTCAGTAATATAGCCTACTTTTACAAACGGTATGAATAACTTTTCATTTCGCACTTGGTCATAGTAAAAATACGTATACATGGCTTATTATCAGATTTACTGACGATCACTACTCGACTTTCTGACAATACGTTATCAGCTCCTATGGTCAAAATGTTGGTGTTATTACTTACATAAGTTTGTTTTCTTTTGATTCCAGTGAACTTTGAGGAGCTTGCAACATAAAAAGTTAATTTGGTGAACCCTTCCCTTTTTATATAAACATTTGTTTACTACCATATCCGTTTGGATTTTATTAAAAATTTACCTTTGAATTAAACAGGAACTCCTATCATTTACTTTGGATCGGAAGTGGGCTTCACGTGCAAAGCCAAAGAACAAGTGCTGATTGGCCTTTATCCCAGAGGTTTCAAACCTTCGGAAACAATAGATCGCAGTTGGCTTTTGCCCATGCCTTGGGATCGGTCTGGTGTAGAATTCACTGGTGGAAATGAGACCAATTCTGAGTTTAAATCCTATATGGAACAATGTGATGTGAAAGAAACTGTTTTGGTACGTATTTTACATGGATATTAAACCTTAAAAGAACATTTTGATAAATTCACATCTGAAAATGACAAAGCCCAGTTGAAACTTAGTTTGCTGTAACGAGTCAGATGTTCGTAAACACTCCGAACAAACTAGTTTGTTGAATTCCAAGTATAAGGTTTTAACAAGAGAGTGCTACCCTCGGTAGTGAAGTATTTATTGCCGGCATTTTAGTTTCATTCTTTCTAATAGTTATGGAGCACGTTTAGTGCCAATAAAGTTAAAATGTAGCCTTCAAATTTGTTTGCTTATCGTTCGCCTGCTATCTGTCCCACGACTTGTGGAAAGTAAACGCGATAAATAGTTCAGTTACAGCGGACTTTTATCAAACTCACGGTCAAAAATATTGCGCGGTTGAGGGGATAAGATGAATACACTCGTTTTTCAGTTCATGCTCCATTATTCTTATTCTCAACTCATCGAGAGTTTGATCCCAATTCTGTCATGGGTCTAGAAGTCTGAGTAAATGAAGCGTAAAATAAAAATGAACGAAAAGGCCGAGATGTAGTATGTAGCATTTCCGATCTTTCATGGTAGCATCAGCAATAATATCATTCCTTTTTGCTATACAGTTATTTCCCGGAGCGAGGAAAACTAGTGAATAGCTGTCTGTCTTGGGAAACCAAGTTGTAGGGCCAAGTAAACTTTCTTAGTGTGAGTTGAAAACAAGCGATCCCGAGGCGATTTGAGGGCGACATGCACCACTTGACCATAGATGCACTTATGAACTCCGCTGTTGATCCTAAACTGGGATACCCTAAGGTAAATATTCATACAAACCACCCTTTTAACTAACAAAGAGCTGATCAAATTGTATCTGTTTGTCCATACTGAGTAAAGAACCTGCACAAAGTTAAGACGAATTTTTCTTCACGGCTGTCTTCGAATTATCTACTAGCCGTGATGAAAAGCGCAAACCCATTTCGCTTTCTGAGATAAAGCAACAAACAGTGTCAATGGACGTAACTATTAGTTTATTAGGAAATCACCGTTTCCCTTAAAGTGCAGAAATCATATACCTACCAGTATCCGTTTAATGCGATTTACTTCCCCCTGTTATCTGCTATCAGGCTACGTTCATGATTCGGAATTCAATAAGATTAGTAATCATCAAAATTGATCTGATGCTTTGAGTACATCTCACCTGTATTTTTGTTATTTGTCAATCACACAGATGGATCTTGCTTCTGGCAGAGGCACAAGCTTTCTCAAATTCGTGTCCCGGTTGACAATGCTGAAGAAAAATCCCAGTCTAATGTGGGGTGACATCAAAGTGATGGAATTTCCTACACGAGTGAGTGCATTAAAGTAAACTTCGTTTGGGGATAAAAAACTTTACCGGACTACTGATTTGATACGTGAGATTGATTCGTGAGAATGTATTCGTATCAAAGTGCTATTCAATCTAATCGTTCGCTTTAAGTGGACATGAACTATGAGACTTTAATTTGTAAACACGCAATCTCTTTGTTTTTTTACAGGTGGTTAGTGATAGCCTTTATGTGTTCACTCGTCATGCGAATCGATTCCCCGCATTTGTCATCGCGATCAACGATCCACAAACCAGTGACACGGAAAAACTCCTCGGTTCGGTGATCGATTTGTCCGACATTTGCCCCAAAATGAAAGTCCGTCTACTTCTTTCAGAAACGTCAGATTTAAAAGAAGACGAAGAGTTGGACAGCCACAAAATCTACATTCCAGTCGCCAAAACACCTGAAATTTATGTTTTCGAATGTATATAAGATGGGGCAGCATATTTTTTGTGGTGGATTGATATCTAACTTGAGCAGGACACTTGTGAATGTGCATAAAAATGTAGTTCGTAGCAACAGGTGTTTTCTTGACTAAAAGATTTGTGTTCGAATTTTCCTTGACTGGGATCATGACAAGGTAACTGGATAAGCCGACGGTTTAAGTTACACAATTTCTAATTGTATTTACTGTTCAACAGTGATTTCTTCAAGTCTTCAGGCTATATTTCAAGGTTTTCTACGAAAATTAACCAAATGAAAAAGGAGTTTATCCTTCATGGACATAGAAGAGCTAGTCATTGTTATTGATACGACCACGACAACAAAAACAGCAGTTATTAATCTGCAAAGGTCATGCCGAAAAAGAGGTAACTGCTTATTGGGATGAATTCCAAAACAAAGCGCTTCATCTAAAATAGAGTAATCATGCTTTAATGAGGCACTTAGGATCAGTGGTCGAACATTTCGACGTTATATTTACATCTGCGGCTACAGTATTGAATACAATAATCCATTCACAAATTTGTTTGTTAGTTTTTGAATATTGTGAGAATCCGCCCACCTCACTACGTTGCTATAAACATTGTACACCGTTGCAGTTTTTATTTGGTGAGTATAGGTTGATGCGGTAATTTTTAGGGTCGGAGCTGCGGACAAACAAAGGTTAGTGAGAAAACACAAAAACTTAGAGGAAATCACTTTGACTTGAAAATCAACCAACCAACCCCACCCATCGAGGTTAGCACACAATCACTATGCCTTCAAATCTCACTGAAGCTTCCGGGTCTAAAACGAGTGTGCACACTTGCCCACCAGCTGATCTCAGTAAATGAGAGTGAAATTATATATATCTAATACACACGCATAGATATCCATATACAAAATCCTGTGTAGCAAAATCTACCACAAAACAGAATTTCTGTTTCATTCTAGGAAAATATTTGACAACCGAACATTTCCTTAGTCACGGATAAATATTGTCAATTGATTCAATATAAAACAAAATCATAGCTCCCCTATAGTGGTCATCTGAAAAGAGTTTACTAATGAGAAAAAGGTCTTCGTTTATCATCTGGTCTCAAAGTACGATCAAATCTTCCGTGAAAAAGATTGGCGAACAAAGCAAAATGTGAAAAGGCAGTTAGTTATTTTACATTTTCCATAGGAATGATATTTTGTTTTCACTAAATTTATAAAATACGATATAATTTCACATAACACTGTGGAGTGCATTTGTTATCCCAGAGGAATGGTATTGGGTTCCGTCAAAAACAGATTGCCTGCCAGCATATACAAAATGAAATAAGCAAAAAAGGTTGCTTGGTGTTGCTGATTCGTAATCCTAATTTTTATGTGGTAGTCCTTTCTAAAGTTGCCAGTTTCTCAATTTCTGTGCTGTAGTTATCAGTTATTATTAGAAAATGCATACATGTGCTTTATTTGATATCTTTATTTTTAACCACAATATACATGGGAAAAAAACGTGTTATGATTTGAAGTGTGTTCCTAATTTTAAGCCTGCTGCTTGTCTACAAACCGCTCTTACATATATACATATATATATATATATATACATATATGTATATATATCTATAAATTTCACACATGGCCTGCACGATAAGCATGAATGAAGTTGGTTGATCTAACGAGGTTTTCTGTGCTTTGGAAAACGCAAGAATCTGCAGAAAATTACAAACAATTTTGTCCGCTAACTAAAGGCCGCATTGTCCAAGGAAAAAGATCCCTAAAGTTGTCTTCAATTAGTCGTTTTTCGATTCTGACGATCTAGTTCGAGGAATTGCGATTCCAAAGCAGTAAACTGCACATTTTGGTCAGATAACCCGTTATCAAAATCGCCTTATCGGGATTGTTTAGTCATACTATGACGCTGGTGTTGGTGAGTTCTCCGAGCTGGACGTGTTGCCCAGCTTAGCTACGAAACTTCTGTAAACAACACGTCCAGCTCGGGGTACTTACCAACACCGAAATTCGCATCCCGAGCTACAATTATTCCACATCATTTCAAACACCATGATGCTCCATTTCGAACGGTGCAATTTAAACCTTGGAACATAAAATGCGGTGTCAACATGTTCTAAGAAGCAGAACCCGAGGAGCGCTTATTTTGAAAACATTTGGAGGCATATTATTCTTAGATTGATCGAATTAAAACTGTGAAGTAGTCCGTGATTCAATGAATAAGCTAAATGGAATCAACTCACGCAGTCAAACAACATTTGAATCATGCAGATCCAGATAACGAAACCTTAGACATTTCCAAGAACGTTTCTGTAAGACTTAAGTGATGACACTTCTAACCCACCTGCGGAACACGAACAGTTTTTCAGGAAATATAAGCAAATAATTTATATATATATATATATATGGTACTGTAATGAAACTGAACAAGTAAGTACTAGTTTATATTGCTTATTTTGAAATGCTCCGTTCGGTTACAATTAATTTACTGTGAGCGGTATGGAATCTTTTTGAAGTTCAGGTAACTTTCGCCTTCAAGAACGTTGTATATTGCTATTTAGTCATCGCGCACAAGGTTTGATAACACAAAGAGGGAGAATATAATCAAAGAGCTGCGTTCTAGAAATATGGTCAACTGGTAAAGATTGGGATGCCAGCTTGATAGAAAATGCAAACAGACTTAGTGTTTTTGTAACAGCAGTAATAGACAAGCGGTCAAGGCCACCATTTCATCGTCTCGGAAGTTATGTGCTCGAAATCCACTATAAATACCTTATTATCCTTAGGGTACTCGTTTGATTAGCCGCTTCATTGTTCTTGAAAGCGGTTTTGTAAACTCAACTATTCAATGAAAATAAAGTGAGGGAACAAGGTTTACATTGATGGGCACAATTGTACAAAAGCGACTGGCACTCAACGATAAAAATCTTTAAATTCGTTGGAGGTTTCGTGGTTTTTCATCAAACTAATGATTTTGTAATAAATTTTCAGTTCTCTCACACGGATTTTACAACAAGATATCCTCGAGTTCCAAAAAAGTACATTTAGAACATTAAAGATCTTTTTATTTGACATAAAATCATTTTCCTCGTGTATGTGCTTGTAAATCTCAATCACTGAATGACATGGATCAGCACAATGATTATTTGGAAGTGGATAAACACCTAGTCTGAAACACTTTTAGGGAAAACTCATTTCTCTTAGCTGTTTATGAACATGAATGTTAACCGAAAACAACGAGTAGACATTAGTACTCCCGTTTAATTGAACGAATCACAACCGCTGTGTGCATGCGCATTGAGGTCGAGTCGATACTGCCTGAATTAAACCGTGCTAAGTGACAAAAATTTTCTACAAACAATCATAATCGTTCTGAGTGTTCTTCGGCAAAGCGAATGAGACTACTGATGAAATAGCTTCTAACAGCAAAATCTAGTGCATAGAAAAGACAATGCGAGTGAAAATAATAGTAACACAAATTGTTATAAACTCAAGCCATGCAGTTAAATAGTTTGCATTAACAATACCCGTAAGATAGAGGGGTCAGTTTGCACAGCAAGTAAAATAGGAAAGGAATGGAGATTGATGTAGATCACTGGAATTTGGTCCTGGTGACGTCAGCACAGACAAAAGCTGTGGCAGTTCAGAACGACAATTCAATAGGTTTGTGAACACGAGAGTCCTGAGGAAAATTTTAGTTGGTATGAGGTCCTTCGCTTAGTTGATAAGCGTAGATGATGCAAAAACGTAAATGACTGACGTTTAGTGAAATTAGTTGATAAGCTTTGGAGATTTTTTATCAAAGTTGGGGAAAAATTGGAGTACAATATGACACCCGTGTCGGTCAATAGAAACAGTCAAGGCAATTGTACTAACTGAAGACATGATTTGCCGCAAATCGAAGAGGTAAAATAAACCAAGTGAGTTAAAAATAGATAAAAAATAACTCATGAACGGTACAGTGATGTAACTGAAGAGGAGTGTTTTTGGTTGAGTCCTTCAAATTAAAGTATTCCTGGAGGAAAAGCAATAAAAGAAGAGATGGAACGCAAACTTATTCGATCAATATGATGACAGAGAAGTACAAGCTTATCCTTCAGTTGCTAAATTGAAGCTGGAGAATTCAAGGGTGGTACTTGTGTTTAATAGAGTCTTGCAATACGGAATGAGTACACTAAACCGTGTGCTTGATGGTAATTGTGTTTTCAATTCAAGGAAAAAGTTCACAGTGAGGCGCAAAAATACAAATGAGGAAATATTGAAACCTTAAACAGGGAAGACGGCCAATCTTGCGGAATGATTTCCTCAGAAACGTCATGAAAAACGTATAAAGGGTATTGAGGGCGTTATTGTTATCGGATTATCCGTTAGAGCTTTATGTGGTCCATCGCTCGGAGTTCTTGATATAAATGTTTAGTTGTCTTCCCAAATAATAATTATAAATGATATAATTGTGGATATATATGCAGCGGAACACATGTCCTTTTAAGAAACCAATTAATCAAAAATAAGCACCTGATGCACAGTGATGCTAGATTGGATAACTTTCCGGTTCCATTCCATCAACGTTTGGTGTTCAATCTACCATTCTACAGACGATAGCGATCACCTTAACTATTGTCCCACGTCAAAAACCACTGAAATCTGATTCTACCGCAATCCGAACAGTAAAATCAAAATGACTGCAGATTTCAGCATCACCGCGGGGATTGTTTTACGCACTCAGTCAGAATGAGCCTGAAATTTGGAGCAGAACAACTACTAATGTACAACTATCTCGGCCATACAACTGATTTTCTCGGTTTATCCAATTATAAGGATGATGACGATGTTTTTGGTCAAATTCTCTATAACGTAACTATCATCAGTTCCTTTTTCTTTTATATCAATGAACTTTCTACCCTGAGCCCAACGGATTGCGACCTAACCTCAATTTCTAATCGATCTGCTTTCACTATAAATCTCCCAATGCACATTCTATCTTGATGAATCTGTCTAGTTCAATGTTTTTA